ATCCAGTCTGTGCTGTCTAAACCCCAGCTGCAAGATTGTCCAGCCTATGTCTTCTGGATACATGTCATTAAACACAGCTCAGCCACCACACCACTTTACTGGTGCTAATCATGGATCACAGGCTTTAGAGATGATGCAATCCAATTTAATTGTAAGCCCTGGTTTAAAAATATTGGCAATTAATACAGCAGATTTTTATAAAGCTGCCAAAAAGGAACCTAAGTTTAAGGGTAGTTTCCTGTTTCCTAGTGAATGACAGAATTTCTCGTGCTTGGAAATCCTAAGGTGACCAAACAGGGTGTCATTTTCCCAACATGAAAGGAAGTCCCATGGAGCCCAGGGGTGCCAAGAGTTCCTGGTGGAACTGGGAAGGAATGAAAGTCCCCTGCCTCACCTCAGTCTGGCTGTCACTGGCTTCCCAGTGAGGCAGACAGGACTGCAGGGCTCAGAGTCTAGAAACCTTTGGCAGGGAGAAAGAACAAGCATCCACCTAGCTGCCTGAGCAGGACAGTCATGGATCAGGAATGGTCCTTGGCCATTCACATTTAAGCTTTAACCAAGAAACTGACTCCTCTACGTCAAAAAACCCAAAGGTTCCCTTAGTTCCACTAAAAGAAGTCAAACTGGGACAAAGGTTACTGCTAGAAATGAAGTCTGAGATGGAGGTAGGAGAGGGGAGATGATCCCAATTGAGATAAAAAAAAAAAAAAAGAACAACTGGTCTTAATTTCTGGCCCAGGGGCTTCAAAAGGATGAACTTGCAAACAGCCCGCCTCCTTGGCCCTTTCTCTTTATCCCTGGCACCATCTTCTTCAGGCTATTTTTAGCACAGGAGAGCAGGGCACTGAATGAAAGCCGGGGCAGCAAGACCTCACCTTGCCTGCCCTGCTGGGACTCTGGCTATCTTTAATTAATGTCTGAGGGACATAAGACCAAACCCTCCTCAGAGCAGTGAAAGGCAGCACAGTGGTGAAACTCTACCCAGCAGGACTGATAGGCCAGCTTCTGGCCACCATGCCTCAGGTCCTGGGGCTATTTTGTTGTGGTTGTTGAAATGACAGTACCATCTGGAGCATTTAGAGAGTGAAGAGTCTGCAGCGTCACGTGACCAGTACAGCGAGTGGGACTCTACTTATCTAGTCCTGCTTCACAGGACACAAATGAGGTTTCACCCACAGACGTTTCTATCACTGTGGAAAGTTCCAGTCATCAGCACTGCCTAGTAAGCTGTAGCTTCAGAGACCCCGTTCCTAATATTGTCCTACAAATGACTTTTCTTTTTCAGTATGTAACAGACTTTTCTTTGGAATAAAGAAACTTCTCTGCATGGCTCCCTCGAGTCCTGTAGTCCAAATTTATAAGCAAAGATGAAAACAAGAGGTCTCATCATTTTACTGTTATGGTCTTTCCCTACTGTAAGCCCCAGGAGATAAATGTAAAACTTTGAACCATGAGCTGCTGCCTCTCAGATATGGCTTTAAGTTGGAGAAGCTAATTGTACCTTTGGAAACCAAACTGAATATGCTGTGAATCCCACAATAAATATTCTCCCACATACTGCTTCAAAGCCATTGGGCTTCAGCACTATCAAAGCACACTGAGGGCAAGAATGATAAACAGAGAGAAGATAAAATGCTACCACTGAGGGAAACAAAATCAGAGTTACAGGGTTTCTAGGTCAGTGACAGAACTGAACATACACGTTGCCAGCAGAGGGTCTGGAGAGATGAAAGGACTCCTGTTACATCAAGAAAAATATGAGCCAGGCATGGTGGCACACACCTTTGGTCCCAGCACTCAGGAAAGCAGGGGCAGGGAGAAGGAGGGAGGGGGGGAGGGAGGGAGGGAGGAAGGAAGGAAGGAGAGAAAGAAAAATGACTAAGGAGAGAAAGAAAAATGACTACAACCTGAGTACATTCTAAATTCCCATCAAACACTGCTGCAGATCACAGCAAGCCCCTTCACCCTCCACTCCACTCCATTAAACTAAGTAGGTCTATTTATCTAAGAATCCATTAGTTGATTTAAAAACACAATTCTGGAATTATCTTTTAGCTGATGGGGCCATATGGCTCTCTTCTCTTTTGCTCCAAGTACTAAACTAAAACCTTTATTAGCCTAAGCAAAAAAAAGCCAGCCCACCACCGTTAAGAGTGCCTACCCTCATTCAGCAGCGGACTTCCCCGCCACCACCTACCGGCTCAGATTCCCACAGGAGGCCAGCGCGTGCTCTCAGACACAATGCTCACAGGGTCAGTGACTGGGAAGGCTGCAACAGCAATCCAGCAGAACCTGTTTCCGCTCACAGTTTTTATCAATTGAGCTTACACAAGAAGTTAAGTGTTGCTACAAAATTACCAAATAAGAATCAAACCACAAAGAAAACACACCAATTTGCAGGAGGCTTAGGAACCAGGTTGCTAAAGCAACAGCCAACTTAGTGCCGCTCAGTGGAACTTAGATGATGGAAATGTCTGCCATTTAAGCACTTGATACTTAACGACCCTTTGGATGAGGAATTGAAGTTTTCATCAGATTTAATTTTAATTTACCATGTATGTAAAATGAAAAGCTGCCTTTCTCTTAAACAATGAGAACACGGGAGAAAAGACAAATGTTTTGAATTTCTCAATTATAAAATCGCTTCCTAAACTAAAATTTAGACCCCGATCACCTATAACAAAATACTGGAAAGCTGCTTGAGTTCTTCTTGTTAGCTCTTTTTGTTTTTGCTGTTCTCAAAAGTCAGCTGGGCCCTTTGATGTGATTATACTTTGAGATCTTACATGTTGGGGGGTGGGGGGAAGCTCAAGCGGTAAACAAACTCTCAAGCCTCAAGTGCTCAGCTGAAAGAGAGTCCTTCCAACAGGAAGTGCACAGTTGAAGAGAGGAAGGGACAGCTGTCCTTTACATGGACAAGTCCCCACAAATGCTCTAAAAGCTTCCCCGAGGCTGGGGGTGGGGTGGGATATTAATCCCCCGTACTTCTAATACGAGCATCCTTAACAGATATGCTGTTCAGCAAATGCTCTTGGCCTATGCATCATGTGTACGAGACCCCAGCGACAGCTTTAAGTGGCAACATTCTACAGACAAGTCATCTGCAGACTCAGGCTCCCTGTACACTACACACCAAGGCGGCGGCAGAAATAAACTGCACAGCTGACAGTGTTCCTGCAGTCATGCCTACAGATGTTTAATCTCTTGAACTGTTTAAACCACATAAAAACAGCACCAGTTTTGAAAGGCTTTCCAGGTCCCAAGCAACAGGAGACAATGCAAGTTTTAGGATTTAAAAAAAAAAAAAAAAAAAGTTCAATGGCTGACTGGCTGACTAGACTAAAAGGACCATGGCACATGTGAAGAGTCCTTAGGGCAAACACAGCTTTGCTGATACATCACTTCCACAGCGGGACACGCCAACCACCTGAACCACAGTAAAACCAGTGAAGGAACCCACAAAGTGTGTAGGTAGCTAGCATGTGGCCTGACTGAAGTGATACAATGGAATTTAAATGGGAAGGTCTTGCATTAAAGATTCAAAACGTTTCACTAGCACCAGAAAGTAAGGATTTGTAACAACTTACAAATAAAGCCATAAAGAATGCAAATGTGGGCTCATTACTGGCCAGCGGAAATAGTATTGCTCAAAGAGCTAATTCATCCTTACACTGTGCATAGGGATTGCAAATTATTAAGAAAGTTGCTATTCTCTAGGAAACTAGTGCAACAGTTATCCACAGCACTGTGTTTGGCAGCAGGGAGAATGGACTCAGGACCTTTGAACTTCCCCCATCCCCCACCCTTTTTAAGAGTCAGAGGCCCTGTCACACCAAGAAGGGGAAGGAAAAGAGCAGAGAGGAAGGAGATGGTAAGGAAACTGCTATCCCCAGATGTCTGAAGGCCTGACACAGATTTGTTCTGTTCGCTTCCAGTGAACCAGAAAAACCAAAAACAAAACAAAACAAAAACCAACAACAACAACAACAAAACTTAGTTGAATACAAGAAAGATTAAATGCTTTGTCCCACCTGGCAGGGGAGGGGGCACAGGTCAGCTCCCACCTCCCCATGGCCTAACCTGGTTGTCCACACAGGCTTCCACCAGCCTAGGATGCTACAGTAGGTGACTGCCCTCTGCCACCTCCCCCACACTGGACCTCCAGAGGCAAGGCCACATTCCTAATAGCAAACACCTCCCAGCTCAGTCAATGGAGCCATTATATCAGAAGGCCAGCTAGTGAGAAACCTCAGGTCAGGCAGTCATGGCTGCTGTAGTTTACCAAAAATCACTTGCATATAGTCAGTGCTTTAAGAAAAGCCAGTAATGCCACCAACGACTAAAAGCACGCTCTGCCCCTGGGACAGCTAGTTTTTACTGCTCTTGGTCACCACACTCCTACTTTGTCCCAACTTGTCTCCCTACATCATTTTCCTAAAGAACAGCCCAAAACGTCAGCTGGTTAATAAACTCCAACCTCAGAGAAAGGACAGCTGCGTTCCTGCCGGTAGAGAGCCTTTCTGGCCGTTTTGCAAACTGACTCAGGGAGTTCCCGTTGCGGCCCCAGCATTGGGTACAGGGTTGGCCAAACTCCCCTGCCACAGCAGGGACTGAGAAGAAAGCCTGACTTACCTTTATTCCCAGGCATCCATTCTTCCTATTGTTCCTCCTGTCTCTGCAGCACTGTGTTCAAAGGGATGCTCAGCCTGGCTTGGGTCCCCTGCTAATTCTGCCCCAAGCTTATAGATCAGAGCAGCTGATTCCCCTGCCTGCTCAAACTCTGAAATGACAACACAGTCGGGAAAAACCACTTCTCTGAGGATTAACCTAACAACCCACTGACAACTCTCTACGGACCCCAACAGTCCACATCACCGAGGGTCCCCAGCCATGGAGAAGGACCAGGAACCCGACACCGGAGAGTGGCACCACTATCAAAGTCACTGCTTTCAGCCTGAACAAAACATCCCGCGTCACCTGCTCTACAGGCCAGACTTTACCTTTCTGAACATGGATGATGTCCGGGAAGTTGGCCAGGTGCCCCTGATACAGTGCTAAGAGGTCCATGACTGGGTCCAGGTCCTGCCTGGGCTGTTCAGCGAAGAGTTCACCTATGGCGTCGTAGACGTCTCCGGTGAAGGCGATGGCCTGGTTCAGACCCACTGAGAAGGCCTGCTGGTCGAGCTCAAAGGCCTGGCTGAGGCCCCTGAAGGACTGGCCCACCTTCTGATACTCCTTCTTGAAGCCAGTCACCTGCTTGCGGGCAAACTCGTTGGCAGTGTGGTTGAGCTGCAGCGTGCTGTCGTCCATTTTCTTGGTGAAGCACTTGAAGCCATCGATCTTGCTCTCCACCTCCTGCAGGTCCAGGGCGGCGGCAGGGGGTGTGCTCAGAGTGAGGAAGAAGTTGGCACCCACCATCTCATCCTTCTCGGCCTTCCGCTTGCCCTGTTTCCAGGCCTTCTCATCCGTGCTGCTGGGGCAGGTCAGGAAATGCTGGAAGACGTCGCACTGTGCCAGCACAGGGTGGCTGGCCATGTGGTTCATCCACCAGATCAGGCCCTTCCTGCGCTTGGAGATGAAGTCCTCCTCGAAGCGCCCCGTGGCCTGCTTCTCCGGCAGGTGGGGCACCGAGATGACCGGGAACTTCTCGGCCAGGCGCGCATACAGCCAGTCGAAGTGCTTATAGCGCCTGTGCACGGGCACCTGGGTATGAGTGGGCACCAGCTTGTAAGAGATGTAGCTCTTCATGCCCTTGAACTTGGTCTGCTTGGTGGGGTCGTCGATGGTGCACTGGAAGGGGTAGGGGTTCTCCTGCCACTCGGGGCCGTAGGGGCCCAGCACCACACACAGCTTGTCCCCGTCCTTCACGAAGCCCGACGCCTCGCCCAGCACGAAGGCCTCCCCGCCCGACTTAACGAAGGTGGAGAAGCGGTTGAGGTTGCGGCTCACCGTGGCCGAGCTCTTGGCTCCAGAAGCCTGATGCGGAGGGGGCGCCGAGCCGCCACGCGAGCCCATCGACAGGTCCGAGCGTGTGGACAGGCGGTAGCGGCCGGCCGCGACGCCGCCCGCCGACGACGAGCCGTCGAGGTCGGGGTAGGCGCCGCTGCCCAGCGCGCCCGGCTCGTCGGCCACCGTGGAGCTGTCGTCCCACTCGTCGTCCCAGTCATCGTCGCTGCCCTGGCTGGCCTGGTAGCCGCCGTACAGCTGCTGGGGCGACGGCTGCAGGGCGCCCCCGCCGTACGGGAAGCCAGAGCCCGGCGGCTGGAAGGAAGCCGGCGGCGCCTGCGGCTGCAGCAGCGGCTGGAAGGCGGCGGGCGGCGCGGCCGGCAGAGGCTCGAAGCCGCCGGGCGGCACGTTGGCGTAGCGGGCCGGGGCTCCCGGGCCGCCGTCGGCCGGAGGGCCGGGCTCGGGCGCACGGATCACCTGCACGTACGAGGCCGGGAAGAGGCCGCGGTCGCCGCGGCTGTTGACCCCCTCGAGCCAGCCTTCGATGTCCTGCTCGCTGCACAAGCTCAGCACCTCGTGCTCCCGCAGAGAGATCTCGCCGGGGTTCTCCGACCTGAAGTCGTACAGCGCCCGGGCGCGCAGCGCCATGGTCCCGAGCCCGGCGCCCCGAGCCCGGGCCGGCCCGAGGGCCCCACGGCCCGCGCCCGCGTCCCCGCGCGCCGAACGGGAGCTCTGAGGGCGGCGCACGGTCCGCCCGCCGCTCCGCTCGCGCCCTCCGTGCACACCCGCTCTGCTCGCAGCCGCGACTGCAGCGCCGAGCCGCCGCCGGCCGGGGGCGGGACCCGGGCCGCCCACGTCCCCAGCGGAGCTAATCCACTGCCGAGAGCCGCGGGCCAGGCAAGAGCAAGCGATGGCCGAGCGGCCGCCCCGGCGCCGACTCCGCGGCCGCCGCTGCCCCCTGGTGGCGCGTGCAGAACAGCGGCCAGCTCGGTGACCGCGCGGCGGGTGGGGGCACTTACTGTTTTCTTTTCAGGAGTTGTCTGAAATCGTGCAGATTTTTAAGGCAGAAAACTCTTTTTTTTTTTTTTTTTTTTTTTTTTCAAGGAAAGTGAGTATTTGTATCCGTATTAGCCTTTCCCTCCCTGCCTGCTCGGAGTGGATTCTCCTAAAATGACTCAACCCCAGGAGCGTAATAAAGGCTTTCACATCGAAGATTAGCTTTTGCACTGATAAGGATGTCCTTGCCGGGGGGTGTGTACAGCTTTTTTCCTTCCGGTATTCTCTGATCGTGTTGGCCAGGAGAGGAGACTGCTAAGAGCAAAGTTAGAGTTCGGGAAGATCCTTGTTTGACCAGAGGGAAGGGTGGTTATAGGAACAGAGGAGCTGAAAAGTTTCCAGTAAGTGTGCAGAGATGGCACTCCGCAGGTGCAGTGAATGAGCGCTCAGGCTTCGGGGCCCTGCTGCGGGTGCCAGTCTGGGTCCTGACACTGACCAGCAGCTGTATGACCTTGAGAGAGTCGCTGGCACTGTGCTCACCTCCTGGAGTTGTGTGGATTCCCTACCGTCGGCCTTATCTTACAGGTGAAGGAAATGAACCGCTAAGGCACGCGGTAAGCGCAGTTCAGTTGTTTGATGTTACTGTTCTTGTTATTTGGGGAAGCTCCGTCTCTGGCCTTTTTCCTAACGAGAACAAAGGTGCTAAAAGTGCAGTTACAGAAGTGCTGTACAATACAGAAGGTCCCCAGGTTCATGCCTTTACACTTCCTACTAGGTCAGTGACCATGCCTCTCCTTTTTAATATATTTAGGTTAAGTAGATCAAAACTCACTTTCAACTGCGATATTCTGTACTTGCCTTGTTTCATATCTTTTCCTTCAATATATAATTTACCCAAGGTTTGTTTTCTTATCCTTTCCTTACTGAATCTTTTGAAGATAACCTCTAACTGAAGTTCTTCTACAGTCACATGTCATTAATTTCAGTCTGTCCTCTGCCCCTTTCTATGACAATCCGGGAGTCAGATCAGAAGAGTATTCCATTATCCCAAGCACTGTGGTTATCTAAGCATCCTGTTCGAAGCCACCGACCCAGTACAGTACACTGGGTCCCACTCTGTGCATGCAAAACCTTAGTCAGTCTCATGAGCTAATTCTCAGGTGTAGCATTTTCAGCCCCCAATTCCGGATATGATGAATCTCATGGAAAGCAACCGGTGGGAGTCTATTTCATCACTTGACATGGCCAGAAACACAAAACCAACACTAAATAAACAGATCGTGTTATGTAGTAAGCCAGGAGACACCCGTCTAGGGTGCTCCCGGTAAACCATTCTTCTCCTTTGGTAGCAAACTTCACATTCTAGAGTTAGCTGCAGGGGCTTCAGGCTTATCTCCGGTATAATAATTCCAGGAATTTACACGAAGGTCTTTCGGGAGGACTGGGCAACAACTGTGGAAACGGTGCACGCGCATTTGTGAATGCTCAGCTTGTGAGAGCAAGGTTAAGGACTTTATGTCTTTCAGGCACCAGGCTTTTGGTGGGTAGGGATGCTTGGCCCTGTGGTCCGAATGGTAGGAAATACTCTACCCCTAGAGGGTCTTGGAGATGGAGGACATCTGCTTAAGCAAACTTCCAGTAATTCACCTAGGGAAGTATATATAAACAATGCAGGTATAGATGATTTGTCTAGAACACGGCTCCTTAAACTGTGGGTCACAACCCCATATAGGGGCTGCCTACATCACTGAATGTGAGGGTCGTGAAAAAAATTAGAAACGGTAAGAAGCTTCCTGAACAGGCAACAAGCAAAAACGATCCAGAATCAAGTGCAGCATGGGTCTGAGGTGCTTCCGGCAATACTCCACCATTTGCACGCCCAACCTCACTGCAGCCTGCGCATTAGTGCTTTGCGGGATGCATGCCGTCAGACATGCAATGTCAGTGAGTGCTGCCCCGTGAGGCCCAGCGCTGATGTATCATTGTGTGTGGTGAGCGGCGGTGATGTTAGGGTACACGTAAAGTCCTCTGCTCTTCTAGAACCGTAATTAAAAAGGGAACGGTTTCCTGCTGTCCTTCCTCACCACGTAGGTGTCCAACTATCTTTAGACTGCGTTCAAGTGCTTGATTTTACAGCTGTTGTTTGAGTTGCTCACATAAGTTTGTAAAAATTTCTTAAGTGAATCTTTTGGCAGCCAGCGGAGGTAGAGACAGGTGGATCGATGAGTTCAAGGCCAGCCTGGTCTACACAGCGAGTTCCAGGACAGCCAGGACTACACAGAGAAATCTGTCTAGGGAAACAAAAAACAAAACAAAACAAAAATCGAATTTTGGCTTAGGATTAGGATAGGATTTATTAGCAATTTATGAAATGACCTTCGATATACTTCCCAGTTTTTGTACTATATATTTATGTAAAATATATAGGTCTCAAGCCTTGATGATTATGAAAACAAATGTCAACCAGCTCTGGAAAACATTGACAATGCTGTGCCCTCCAGTATCAAACATTCATCCAAGATGCAATTCCTGTTTACAAACAGACAGGCATGCTTGCCTCATTAGTATGCAATTTTTATCTTTTATAAATGGTAACATTATGTGCATATAAAATTGTTTGGAATACTTGATTTATTATCGGTAAATGTTTAGTTTTATAATGATTTTATGTAGCTATATACCTAAGGTTGTATAAATTTTTCTTGGGATAAGAAGGTCAGGAGTGGGAAAATGCTGAGAAGACTCAGTCTGTAGCACAGTGGCTCTCAACCTTCCTAATGCTGTGCCCTTTTAATACAGTTCCTCCTGTTGTGGTGACCCCCAACCATAAATTTTTTTTTCTTGCTACTTCATACCTGTGATTTTCTACAGTTACACACTGTAATGTAAATACCTGATAGGCAGAATATCGACCCTCGGGTTGAAAACTGCCAGTCTGGATAATTGAAAGACCCCTGCCTCACCCTAAGTTAAACATAGCTAACGCCATTTGTGGGACACCACTGTTTTGTAAAACTCTGAAGGCTAGATGGGAAACTGGAAAATTACTAAGAAACCCCCAGCTGTGTCACCCACTTGGGATATCTGTGGTCAGGCTGCCCCAGTTGAGCTAAAAACAGTTTGTATTAATCACCCTCATGGATATCTGTGAGACTGTTCCAGTTAAGATAAGGGTCCTAAGAAAAACAACAGGTGGTGGGCCACATCAAGGAGTCATCATGACCATTGTGACCACCCAGTTCCTGGAATCTTGGTGTCCCTGCCAAACTTTGACGCAAACCTTGGTCTCATGTAAACATACCAATCAGCCCCCTGTAACCATGCTTCTCGCTTCTGTACCCACGCTTCTGCTCTAAAACCCTATAAAAACCCCAGCCTTTCACCCAGGGGGCGCGCAAAGTTCTCCCGAGTGACCTTGCTGCCCCGAGTACTCGTGTATCAAAATAAAAGCCTCTTGCTGTTTGCATCCGAATGGCCTCGTTGTTCCTTGGGAGGGGGTCTCTCAGACGAAAGATACCCTCCGGGGATCTTTCAATAATAAAACATGTAATTTTAGTACATGTACTAAATTACCTATCAACAATTTCTATTTCATTATAATATTTAAAATTCTTCAGGAGACACTAGAATGGTAGTAAAAAACACCTGTATTTTCTCACTTTCTCCCATAGCTGAAGAAGCCTAAGAGGCTTGGCTCTTGGCTGCCTCTTCCCCAGAGGAGAGGGCATTCTAGCTTTCTTTACTCTTCCAGGGACTGCCCCGGATTTCGCCTTTGCTGTACCTTTGCTTGGGCCCCACCTACCCTAGAAGTCACCACACTGCACCTTTCCCTCATCCAGAATCAGCCTCACTCCACCAAGCCTCCTTTCTCTTGCTGTTTTGAAGACTCAAGAAGTGAGGCGGAGAGTGCCTGGGGCCTAGGTCTCTCAGCCTCCACTCCCGATCTTACTTTATAAGAGAAAGGCTTTGCTGGTCTAAGCCGCCGAAATAGCAAGGTTTTTTTTGTTGTTGTTGTTGAGACAGCTGGCATTAATTATCATGAAGAACCTCTCCCTCCCTTCGTGCCGCCATCCGAAGCCCCATCTCCTTTTTCTTTGCAGTACTTACTACCTAACATAAACACATTTCCATGTAGAATGTAAACCACTTCGGAGCAATGCTGTTATTCTGGACACCAAGGACACAGCAATGAACAAAGCAGAGTAGGCCAACTAGTAAATATTTGTTTAATGAATGAATGAGAAAATGCCCCCTTATTTCCTCCAGAAATGATGAAAGGTCTGAGAAGTGGTTCTTACTGTGTCTGGGCCTTCTGGACCGGGCCCTGCTGCTTCCGGCTAAAACTCAATGTTTCAAAGGGCAACTGAACAATACTTCTCCTCAAGTCAACAAACTTAATGCTGACTCATCCACCCAGAATGACTGCAGAATTTCTGAGATCGCTGGAAATACCATGGCCCTGGCTGAAAAGGCCATTTAAAAAAAAAAAAAAAATAACACTCTATTTATATAATTACCTGAAACCGTGCATATAATATGTCAAGCCTTACACAAATGGCTTTATAAGCACTTCCACCTGCATTGTGTCATTCCCTGCTGTTTTCACAGCGGCTCCTCCAGGCATGTAGCTGACACTGTGTCAACCACAGACTGGGTATTTGGCTAAGGCGCGCGTGGTTGGTGAGTGGCCTAGAAGCGACTCAGCTGTCTTGAGAACTTCCATTCCCTGAGTCATGGAGAACTTCCATTCCCACAGT